CTGGTAGGAAAGATCTACACCTAGCCTTCTCGGACAAGGGCGAAAAAATCTCGGAGGGCCCGTGTGCAAGTTGCGCACGTTAAAGATCCCAAAATTCAAAATTTCCTACCAACTGAAAATATTAGGTGTGTCCTGCGCGGTCATATGACCTTATGCAGTTGCGAGCGCCAAAAAAAAAACAAACCCCAAACATCTCTCTAATGCAGGAATGGAACTCCGGTTTTCTCGATTCATTATCTTGACTGTATGTTTGTGTGTTAGTGCCTATAAATGGCTGCTTGCACTGTATGCTTCCCAGGAAGTTAAGGTTGTTTCAGAATGCTCTCAGGTTTAGTATAGATCGTGAAGCGCATAGAGCTGGCTGTTGAGCGGAGATTTGCGCTATACAAATGCTATCTATTATTTATTTTTTTTTTTAATTGAAGTATTAATTCAGAATCAGCCTCCCATCAGAAAAACGTTAGGAAGACGACCAACCTCCCCCAAGAAAAAAACCCAACCAAAAAAACGGAGCAATAATCGCGTCGGTTCAAACTTAGTAGTACTATATGAAAATAACTACCCCCAACCCGTATCCTTCCCAAAAACAAACACATAAACAAACAAACAAACAAACAAACAAACACATACACACATACACACATACATATCCCCATACACACACAGTCATCGCCGAGTTATTAAAAAATTGTTCCTCTACCACTACCACTATCACCATCAGTTTCACTGCCACTACTCACAGTTATAGTATCTTCCACTCCACACTTTTGAAAGTCAACAAACCAGCATGAAAACCCAGAAGCAAAGCTTTTAGCATGCGACCAGACAGCCAAAGGGAATGGATATTCGGCTATCTGCAAGCGGCTCTCTTCCAATTTTGGGTCTCAGCATAAAGTTATGTGAAGCTTTCGTGAATCGTGAGCAGTAAAAATAGAATGCTTTTTGTCGACGAGGGTCCGCGTGCAGGAACGATCTGCTGCGTTAGATCTAAAAGCAGAGGATGAGCTTAAAGAGGGCGTATTTTAGTATGTGCTAAAAGGAGATACAAACTGACAGACGAGTCAGATAACGCACAGATTTGTTGTGATTTTACGTGTTCAGCTCTTGTGTTGTAGGTTTTTAAAAATATTTTTGTTGTTGTTTGTTTTGCTTTGTCTTTTAAAAAACCCCGAGCAGTTTCACATTTTCCTTTAGTAGCTCTTTCATGAGATGAATGCGACTCCACGAAAGACGTGATATCATGTATTAGGTTGTGTCAAGAAAATAAACTGCTACAAGGTTCACTCTTTAAAGAAAGAAAAAAAGGAAGTAATGTTTTTTTCTTGAAGTACAAAACAGAGTAATTCTTCACGAGCGCTCTTGTTAAGTTGTCAGTGGACGCTTGCTATTAAATCATATCAAGCAAAGTGGGTTAAATGGCTTTCAGAAGGATGATTCTTGGGGTATGTTATTGAGCAAATCATATTAACTCATAAACTCTAGACTGCCCCCCCCCCTAAAAAAAACCCCACAAAAAAACCAGAAAAAAACAACAACAGCAACAAACAAACACAAAAAATCCCCAAAAGCAAACAAACGCACAAACGAAAAGCGTAAAATATCTCAAAACAAATAAGCTATTTCAGGGGCTGTGAAAACAATGATCATCAATGGTGTAAGTTCTGTTGTATGGTATGGCAGCTACTTGGTTCTTGATCACGTGGTGTTGATAGTAATCCACGTCTTTTATAAATGTGGATGTTTTTGGTATTAAGGGTGGACTATGGTGCTGATGAATCTGGTTCGAATCTCCAAAGAAAAGAGGCTTTCTTGGACTGTTTTTTTGTTTAGACGGTTTTGAAGGCTCTCTATTTACTGATTGGAGATGGGCTTTAAAATTGGAGGACTACTGTCTTTAAAAAAGCTGTTGAAATGCTGAAGGTCAAGTTGAATTCATGCCATACCCAGATGCATAAGTAATGATGTCATTATTTTTCTATTTTTCAAACCAAGATACCTGTCCCAATCCTTAACTTTCTGGCTCTTCCCATATAAATAGATTGAACCAATAACAGCGGGCGCTGAGAGGATGTTGTCATTAATGTCATTGGTGACAGTGGTCCTTCTTCCTTGCTTTCCGTTGTTTCAGTTTGGCTTACATTTTTTCCAGCCCTAAAAGACCATTATCGTGCCGATGTCCTTCTTTTCTCTCAAACAAACAATATTAATGTTCCCATTATTTTGTCGATGTGCCTGTCTTCACTGAGACAAACTACATTAATGACCCCATTATTGTGTCGATGTCCCTCTCTTCACTCAAACGAACTACATTTAATGTCTCATTCCATCATTCTCTTTCTCCTGCTACAGGCGAACAGGTCTTTTCACTCAAACAAACAGTATTAATGTCCCCATCCATTATTGTGTCGATGTGCTTCTCTTCACTCAAACGAACTACATTAACGTTTCGTTCCATCATTCTCTTTCTCCTGCTACAGGCGAACAGGTCGAGCCAATGACAGTGGACGACGTGACGATGCTGTTCAGTGACATCGTAGGCTTCACAGCAATCTGCAGCACAGCCACTCCCATGCAGGTCGTCGACATGCTCAACTCGCTGTACACGCACTTTGACCAGTTTTGCGTCGATATTGACGTTTATAAGGTCAGTTGTTAAAACTCTGTTAAGTGTTTGTGTGTGTGTGTGTGTGTGTGCGCCCGCGCACCTCGACACTGTCTGTCTGTCTGTCTTTCTGTCTGTCTGTCTGTCTGTCTGTCTGTCTGTCTGTCTGTCTGTCTGTCTGTCT